ACACAACACGAACTCCTCTTATTTACGTTTTCATGTCAAATTCACTGGTTTTTTTTTTTTTTTTGAACACGTTTCTATAGTACCGTACAAGTGTGACAACCCTGTGTCACCGGTGCACGCTTTCTATGATTATTTTTTTTTTTCTTTTTGCTCTTGTCTACCTCTAACGGAGCCTCAACAGAAACAGGAGGAATCTCACCGTACAAAGAGCCTGGATTATTGTTATTGTTATTGATATTGTTATTCTGGTTGGATTCAAAGACTTTCGAGGGAGGAAACTGGGGACTTGTCACTCTATTCGCACTAGAAAATACCAGCTGCTGGTTCAACAATGATGCAGCACCAGCATTAACATCTAGGCACACATCCGTTAGAGAAGCAGATCTCTCATCTAAAGTACCATTTTGGGAAACAATACTCTCAGTTGTACTATTATCGCAATATACTTCAATATTCCGATACGGGGGGCTTTTGCAAGTTGATGGTAGTTGAATCTGTGCTTCTTCTTTTTGTTCTTTTTCTTCTTCCTCTTCCACTTCCTTCTCGTATGAAGCTAATGACCTGTTTATCTCGACATCAAATAATGATGATGATGACGATGATGATGATGACGACGATGAAGATGAAGATGGTGATATCATAAATGTCCGAATATGACACCTTGTAGAACTTTGTTTACAATGTCTGGGAACTTCTTCCACTGAAGTTACTGATGTCGGTTCTTGAAATGGTGAACATAATTGTGATTGATGTTGTGCCTGTCGCTCTATCTCTTTTGCAAGTGCCGCAGTTGGTGAGCTAGGTGTATTTTCAGAAGAGGCAAGATTTTTAACATAGTCTTGACAAGAGTAAGAACCTTCTCGCAGTACAGCAGTATTTAAGTCGCTTAGAGAGTGAAATAACTCGGCACCTTTCACAATAGGAGGGGACATCATTGGTGATCCCAGTGTAGCAGTCTCCAGTACACTATCTTGTTCACCTTGAAGCGTTATAAGGTGCCGCAGTATGTTCTCTTTTAACTCATCAGATGCATCAAATGGAGTACAAAGCACTATCGCTACAGGTACAAGCGGTTCAAGGGTTAAGAGACCCCTGCAGCAACTAAATGCATCACATGTTGCACCCATTTCCTCCACCAGATAACTACCAATTTCAAAAAAAGCTAATACAAAAACTTTGTTGTGATCATCATATTCATGTGCCTCCCATGAGTCAGTATTTTTGCAGTTAAGTCGGTGAAGTCCTACACATGCGGGAATACCGGCATCAAGCATTGATAACCCCATTGCAATATCACCAACATCTAGAAAAGCTAAAGTCTCTACGGCCTCATTAACATTACGCGGTGCTAGGCAAGCCATGACAGAAACATAACCTACCACTTGTACCTCTGGAGGCAGATAAGAGTCAAAATAATCATCAAACCCAACAGAAAGTTCTGGAAGTTCACCAAGAATTCGACTGAGAAGCCAACCAGCCACACGTTTTGTATCTTTAGACCGTAAAAGACGTTGACGGCTTTCTGCAGCAAAAGTATCAGTTTTAGCAACGTCTCCACGTGATGAAGAGTCTTGAGCTGAAATTAAATAACCCAAACGTGGACTGTTATCAATTCCTTCTCTCTGTGTCTCACCAAGTTCAGTGGTGAAATTATTCTGACGATGTTGCTGCTCTTGTTTTTGTCCTTCCACAATTTTACGTAATAACATTAACTCAGCTAGTAAATCTTGACGTTCTCCTGATTTCAATAAACTCATATCTTGGCTTGGGTTTCGTGGTGCAACTTTAGTTTTAATGTGTTTGAGACGTTGTGTATACCGCATTGTGCTCATCGTTTCCTGAAAATATTCAGAGTCTGGATGAATACAAGCGAGAAATACAGTCATAGAGGCTCCAGAAAGATAACGTTGTAGTAGAACAGTCAAGGTTGTATCCCGAAAATTAACATAAGAGGTAGTGCCATCTGCCTTCATTCGCGTAGTACTAAGAGCTTCTAATACCGTACTAAGACGAGAAAGTGATTTATTAATAGCAATACTTTCTCTATTTAACTGAGGAGAATAAGTTGTTTGCCTCTCACTTCCTGCCAAGTCAACTAGACAAAGGCGTAGACCTCGACTTTTGATGGTGAAAATAGCATGACTACGACTGCTACGTGGATTTCGCTCTGTGGGAGATACTCTTCTTGTCTGCATTCCAAACCGTGAGACGGCTTCCCACTCCTCCATAGAAGAAAGCAAACATGTTGTTAAATCTTCTACTACTATTACTGTTCCATCAGGACTTGAACGACGGCGGATTAAACGCCTTTCACCTTGTGCCAACAGATCATGCACAGATTCACCATATACTTCTAACATGGCAACTTCAGCTACACCATAAGTGTCTAGAACTGCTTTTGCTGAAAAGGACAAGAGTCCTGGCTCTTTGTTTGAACCAGCAATTGTATGAGTCTTACCGCTACTTGTGTGTCCATAGGCCAAAAAACAAGATGTATCGGGATGCTCTACAGAGGAAATAACACGTTCCATAACAAGATTACGAAACAGCTCTTCGTTGGTACAATCTTCTGTTACAACTTGATCCACACGGAAACTACGGGGAACACTGTTCGCGTGTGTTTCAGAAAGATCTGATATCACTACATTCTTTTCACGCTCACCTACAATGCTGACACACGATTGGCCACTTTTACCAGGTCGGACACGCACAGCCACTTGGATTCTTCGACCCATAAGATCAAAATAACAAACTCAGTCTCTAAGTACTCCAGGAGGAAAAAAAAAAAGAAACAAAGGCGCATAAATCAAATTCAAAAGAGAGAAAAAAAAAAAACAAGACAATTATCAAGGAGGAAAAAAAAACAAGATAAAAGAGATCATAACTCCTCTTACAATGCGCCACTAGAGCTTACTTTGCGGATATGAGAAATTTTCACACCACATACACACACACGCGCACACAAGTAAAGAAACAGATATATATATATATATATATATATATATATATATAGAGAGAGAGAGAGAGAGAGAGACAGACACAATGCAATGTTTTCAGATGCCAAATCGGCCGACAACATCGCGCCGACACTCAAAGGTTAATTTGCCACTAGAATTCGCTTATGCGATACAGCGGCCCCGTGACTTCTATACGCACAACATTTGGGCTTGAGTTCTTTACTTCATAGTAATCAGGTAGAATATGCCAAGCAACACAAGTATCGTTACACCAATGAGAGGAGCAACAAGAAGCACACACCGCATTGAGTCAGATTTCCCATCAACTATTCCCCTTGAGGATGTTGATCCTCCCATCTTGGATTCAGCGCCGGTCATCACTTCTTCAAAGGTACGCCGCACAGGGGGCTGTCGTCCCACGGAGAGCATATTCACACTACGTGAAGAGTTGGAGGTTGAAAATACCTTTTTGATACGTTGAAGATACAAGTCAAATTTAATAAAGCAGTACGGTCGCGTGGCCGCCTCCACTTGGGGTCCGTACTGTTGTAGAAACTCTCGTGCCACGTCTTCCAAGAACGCAAAGGCCACTCCAGCCGGGGTGGCGGTGTCACACATAGTAAGGAAAGAAACACCAGACTCAGAGAGAACGTGATATACATAGTTTTTCCATACAATCGTAAGAAGTGCTGGTAGTTGAACCGAAGGATTACTGTACTCTATAGCTAATTTCCGCAATAGTGTCTTTGCCACTACTTTGCATTGCTCTAGTTCTGCGCTACAAGTATCGGTGTCAGCCGCCAACGCCAACGCATCTCTCTGCCGAACAATAAGAGTAAAATGAAGCATAAATATGTCGCGCCCGCTACCTCAAACTCTCCTCTGTTAAATCAAAATCGCTTTATTTGGGTTAATAATTTATTTCACGTCAAGAATTTTTTTTTTTAATTAATGAAAAAAAAAAAAAAAACAGAAAAAAAATTATACTTATCATCGTATTCAGAGAAAATAATTAAATTCAGAAAACAGCAGATAAAAAGAACAGAACATAGAAAGAAAATAATTAACGTAAAACAGCAAGACTTAATAAAACTGGGACTTGTCAGGGAAAACTCATTAATCATCAATAGATACCTATCGTCAAGACATCTAGGGAATAAAAGTAAATTGTCGTCTCATCGTCTTTTGCCGGCAAACTGGACAGTAAGACATACCTTCAGAACATATCCAACAGACACATAGGTGACGACAGGGTTCAAACAAGGTATCTCGTTTGAAACTCATGCAAACCACACACTCTTCCCCTTCATGACGTGCAGGAGACGGAATATACGTCGATGGTGGTGACTCACTACTAATAGATGATGTTGACGCTCGTCTGACTAGTAGTAAGCAGCCATAAATACCCATTACTGTCAGCACTGAATATGCGGCCAAGCGTGAAGAGTCCCTATTATCACCTGTCTGCAAAACTCGGTTCAATTCCTCCCGCTGGCTAATAATTGTGGCCTCCAAAGCACCAATAATCTCTTGCTGTCTGGCCTGTTTCTTAGAAAGGGCCCATAGCGCAACACCAAAGGGAACAAGCAAAATAGTTTCCAACATTCGGGCTCTATAAATTCATATATATATATATATATAT